CTTGACTCAAGTGTTGCGTCGTCGTCTTCTTCGTGTTGTTGTTGGTCTTTCTGCGGTTCTTGGCTCAGAATTTTTGATCGACAGCAACGGGTGTCAAACGTTTCCTCCTTAAAATGGCCTCTTCCCGTTCGAGGGTTGGAAAGTGCCGTGATTCGAGAGTCGTCCTCGTAATACCCTAACGTCTCTCTCTCTCTCTCTCTCGGAGGTCGCCTTGTCTCGCTGCCACTTTCACACACTGACCGCCGTCGCCGCTGCAATCGCCATCGTCGTTCTCGAATCAAAGCACCATCAACGGACAGGAGGCGGCGCCTAACGAACGGTCCTCCTACCAAACAAGGCTCACTCGGCAAATTGGACGACGAGCGACAGTCAATCAGTCAGCCATAAAAGTGAACTATTGGCTCGCCACGGCCGCTTGCGCGCGTCTTAAGTCCTACTTGTCACAACGGTGGCAGGTGGCAACGTAAATGATATCATAATCTGCGCACACACGTTGCCAATTGTCCATGCCTCTTTTGATCGGTGTTGGCTATGACGATGACCGACGAACCGCATGATCGCGGCTTCAGGTCATTCGAGCGACCGTTAAGCCCTCGACGTTGACCGTCCTCTTACCTCCTCAGTTTTGTCTCATCGATCTTCTGAGGACCCGCGCACTTTTACCTTCATCGACGCCGCAAAGGTGTAGTGATATTTTTGATTGATTTGAAGAAAATGAGTTTATTTTTTATGCAAATGGAAATTGAGACCAAGAATAGCAGCGGCGCTGCTCGATAATGAACTTAGTCTCGCCTGGTCGTCGATAGACGAGAAGGAACTGCGCAGGCACATGCAAAGATACAGTAATTTGCAATGGACACTCAGTTTTTCGATACCACTTTTCGGGCGCTGCTCGTGTAAGATCCATTTCCTGTCGCCAGCGTCGTGGGCAGTACGTCACATGAGAAAGGGAGGGACAATCGATGACTTTAGCGATTCAAGTGTGAAGCATGGCCAGCCAGGGAACTACGACGACGTGCTAAAGCCAATTCGAAAACAAGTTCAAGCGATTAAACGCAAAATAAGCAGTTGTACCCCCCCCCTTTGACTTTTGCTGTTCTGATCACCGTCCCCTCTGGGATATGCTCTGCACGTACAGAAAATGGGACGCGGTAGTCGTCGTTATTACGAGGACAAAATTTCCTCCTAATCGTTCGTTGGTTGTTACGGTAGCTCATTAAAGCCAAATCCACTTTCGTAGCACCGCTGCTCAACCACCAAGGGAGCAGCTAAGCGTTTTTTGAATACATCTTTCCGTTACCCTGTGTCACTGATGGCTTCGCTTGTCCATGGTACTCGAAAATGACACTTCAACGGAAGGAACATGAGTTGTGATCAAAGGCACGTCTCCCATGGAAACTTTCAGCATGTTGATATTCAGTTCAATTATAGATTCCACGCATGGACATCTTTCAGATCTATCCTATGGTAATGGAAGACGGATGGCAGCTAAGGTGCGGATATACATTTCTTGAAGAATAAGGCAGCGGTTCAAAAGTTTTCACTGAAGAATTATGAAGAAGCAACGGTATTTCAAAGTTTGTGTCCCTATCCCTTAGAAGGGCGTTCTAGAATACATTTTATGAACGTTATGATTAATTTAAGTTATAGATGACATTTTTCACCACTCCCTGTTTCCTGACTGAGAAATATTGTTCCAACCACGTAACATTCTTTCCATCTAAGTGGATAAGCAACGCATGCTTCTTCTAACAAGGCATGTGGAAATCTGCCATCATTTAATTATCACTGTCTCATTAGCTAAAGCACACTTTGTCTTCACAATTCATCAACCACTTTGACTGTATTTCGACTTGCAAACCGTGGAAAAAGTCTACCTTGTTTATAAACTTTGCTAGAATGATACGATTTGAATTTTGGCACCTCCAATGCTTACCTCGACGGGAGAAGAATGATTATTCTTACATCAAACATTATGGAAAGGATTACGAAATTTCGTTTCTGAGTTGGGCAGGGTTGAAGGATCTTGTGAATTTATAAATCTAGCAGCAACGAGCAATTTTCTGTAAACTGACCATCTTCACTATCAAAGAGAGGATTGAGAAATGGCTGAAATACCGCTGATTGATTGGCTTTATTATCGTGAGAATGTTCTAGCCACAAAACTATTGATTCTGATATTGAATTTGTTGAACGAGTCAATTATCAATGAACTGTCCGATTGCTGTCATTATGAATATTATCACTGCTGGTCATTCGGTTCCTGTCAGGTCCCTGATCGCTGCTTTCCACCTCTTTTGATCATGCGCAACGTGCGCCATTAAGTTCAGTAAGTCCTTCACCCCCTATTTGTACCCATACACTGCCAGCCCGAACTTGTCAGCTGTGACAGTGTCGTATCAGGTTCCTTAATTTGTTTGCTGATTTTCCGGACCGGACCGACACCGAATCAGAGGGCGCTCAGAGGAGCTGTCCACTGGTCGTGTACGAGCTGAAAGTTTATGAAACTCCTGGAAGCAACAGAAGATTAGGAACCGTCGGTCTTTGCAATTACAGTTGTTACTAAAACATTTACCTGAGCATGTCATAAGTCTGAAGTACTGTTTCAGCCAGATGAAAATCATTAATGAGGTCAATATTGTCATGAAAGCATTGCTTAACGTTCAGGGATTAGCATGAACACGCCCACAGTTTCGCCAGAGATGCTCTTCCTCATCGCAACAGTTTTTCCTGAAAGGATCATCCATCATTTTATTACAGAAGTCAAAGTGGATCGCCCGAAGGCTGACTGTTAAGTGGTTAAAAAAATTAAGTAAGGGTACATTCGCGACGCATTGCACGTCGTCAGCGAAAGGTTTGAACCTAGGAGGGAGGGAGTTTGACTTAAAACGCAGAAGTTTGAATTATTGCTTTTGCCAAGCATAACAATGCCATATCATTAGAATTATCATCTTGAAACAAAAGAATGCAGTAAGTTTATGCCTTCAGTCGTGCGTTGTTTCTTGTCGTATTTCTTAAGGTCAGTAGGAGTGATTTGTCAGTCAGTTATTTTTCGTGACCTCTTATCCTTTAGAGTGGTGGATTCAGATTCACAAGACAGTGCTTCTAATGTTATCGATACTCTGTCATCGTCTGAGATACGGTAGACAATATTGCGAGTTCAGAGCAGAGTGTGTCGTTACATTTGTCTCAGGTTCCTCGCGGCCGTCTATTGGATCTTCGGCCAGTCGGTTTGGCAGGGGCGACAATTAGTGTTTCGCCATCCTTTTTGAAAGCATTCTCAAGACGTGTCCG